AAATTTGGTCTATATGGACCAAATAGACTGTTCCTAGCTTGTCATGCATTCTTTCAAAAAATCAGGGCTTTTTTAAAATGCCAAAAATCAGGACTGTCCCATCAAAAGTGGGACGTCTGGTCACCTTACCTTAGACCCTTCCCATAGTCGGCACTCAGCCACTAAATAATGGCTAGAAAAGCCATTTCTCAGATGCTTTGCTTGTTCCCCCTCCTAGAGGCACGGGTCTTACTAGCTAATCAGTACCGACACTCCTACAATGCAAGCCATGGCTTCCCTCCAATTTATCCCATCTCCATGCCCCTCCCCAAAGCTCCATGTCCTTAGACCCCGCAGAGTCCATGGGCAGAGCTAGTTTAACCAAAACGTAGGTCCAGGCCCACTCTGAGACACGTGGGAAAGCAGCTTAGCAAAGGCTCCCTATGAGATAGCCACCCTTTTGATATGGAACTGAACTCACTCCAGGGACTAATTTTTCACCCAAACAATAATCAGGTGTTCAAGGGGAACAATAACGCCCATGAGGTAACACACCTTAGAACTATCAACCATTTAAGGTCAAAAGGGCATGTACCCAGGCCCAGGGCCAAAGTTCCGAAGGGGTGGGAGAGATGAAGGAGAGGAAACAGGAACCCCAGGAGGACGAGGAACAGGTCACTTTGTGAGGGGAGCGCCATGAATGAAACACAGTAAGGGGTGTATGAATGGTGGAATGCAAAACAGATGAACTGCTCTGGAAACCTTTACCCCACTCACAGTGTTAAAAGTTAAAAGATAAATAAACAAAAAGCTAAAAAGGCCTGGAGAGCTACTTCTGAAAAAATGAGCCACTGACAACACTAAGGAGCACAGTTCTATGAAACACACGGGTGGCCACGCGTCTGAGTCCATAGAGAGCACCCGGTTGGCTGGCATCTATGCTGCACCCCTAGCCTGAAATACTACCCTGTCTCCCTGCCAAGTTCATTCTTCCTACTTCAGTCGGTCCTACAAAATAGGACCTTGAGTATTTCCCAGCTCGATTTCAAGAACAGATTTGATCAACTGAACACTCAGGACAAAAGACCTGATGAGCTGTGGGAGGACATCAAGAACATCATTCATGAAGTAAGCAAAAGACCATTAAAGAGACAGGGGAAAAAAGAAGAGATACAAGTGGATGTCAAAAGAGACTCTGAACTTGCTCTTCATCATAGAGAAGCTAAGGCACATGGAAGAAATGATGAGGTGAAGGAGTTGGACAGAAAATGTCAAAGGACTGCTCCAGAAGACAAATTATTATAATGAAACGTGCAGAGACCTAGATTTATAAAACCAAAAAGGAAGCATATGCTCAGCAAATCTTCAACTGAGAAAACTGAAGGACAAACAACTCAAGCCACAAGTTGCCCTATTGAAAGATTCTATGGGAAAAATATTGAATTATTCAGGAGGCATCAAAAGAAGATGGAAACTTCTTGATATGATTGAATGACTGAACTATTGAATTATATGATAGGTAAATTACTTATCAAAAAACAGGGGGAAAAAGAAGGGAAGAATACAACACTCAGAGTCATTGTACCAAAAAGAACTAGTCGACATGCAACTATTTCAAGAAGTAGCATATGATCAAGAAACAATGGTACTGAAGGAAAAGTGCAAGTTGCACTGAACGCATTAGCCAAGAACAAGGCAAACAAAGCTCCAAGAACTGAAAGACTACCTCACTAGTCCCCGCCAAGAAATAAGGAAGGCAGCTACCTGGCCATCTGACTGGAAGGGATCCATCGTTGTACCCACTCCAAAGAAAGGCGACCCAATAGAATGTGCAAATTATAGAACAATATCATTGATATCACAAGCAAGTAAGATATTGCCGAAGATCATCCAACAACAGTTGCAGCAGAATATTAACAGGGAATTACCAGAAATTCAGCCCAGATTCAGAAGATGTGAAACAAGAAATATCATTGCTGACATCACATGGATCTTGGCTGAAAGCAGAAAATACCATAAAGATATTTACCTGTATTCTACTGACTATGCAAAAGCATCCAACTGTGGATCATAGCAAACTGTGGGTGGCCTTGAGAAGAATGGCAATTCCAGAACACTTCCCTGTGCTCGTGTGGAACCTGTCCGTGGATCAGAGGGACTTGTGTGAGCAGAACCAAGAGACAGTGCAGGGCCTACAGCAGGAGAGATATGTGTTAGGGTTGTATCCTCTCCCCATTACTTATTTGATCTGTATGCTGAGTAAATAAGCCGAGAAGTTGACTATATGAAGAAGTTAGCATCAGGTTTGGAGGAAGGCTTACTTAGCAACCTTGCTGGCTGAAAAGTAAGAGGACTTGAAGTATTTGCTGATGAAGAGCAGGGATTACAGCTTTCGATGTGGATTACAATTTAATGTAAAGACGGCAAGAATCCTCACAAGTGGACCAATAGGTGGCATCATGATAAACGGAAAAAAGATTGAAGTTGTCAAGGATCTCATCTTCTTTTGATCTACAAGCAGTGCTCATGGAAGCTGCGGGTAAGAGATCAAACAGCACATTGCATTGGGTAAATCTTCTGCACAAGACCTCTCTCAGTATTGAAAAGTAAGGATGTTTCTTTGAGGGCTAAGGTGTGCCTGACCCAAGCCATGGTATTATTTTCAACCACCTCATATGCATGTGAAAGTTGGACACTGAAAAAGGAAGTCCAAAGATTATCAATGCATTAAATGATGTTGCTGGTAAAGAAATTGAAAGTACCACGGAATGCCCAAAGAACAAACACATCTTGTCCTGGAAGAAGTACAGCCAGAATGCCCCTTAGAAACAAGGCTGATGAGACTTTGGACATGTTCTCAGAAGAGTCCTGTCCCTGGAAAAGGACCGCTGCTTGGTAGAGGAGGAAGAACGTGAAAGAAGACCTTCAACAAGACGGACCTTCAACAGTGGCTGCAACAGTGGATTTCAACACAGGAACAATTCAGAGGGTGGTCCAGACCAGACAGGGCTTTGTGCTGTAGACCAGAGGTTGCCATAAGTTGGAATCCCTCAAAAGTACCGGACAACAACAATACAACATTCAGATGGAAAGTTACTTCTCCTCAGAAGCCCTCCTCGTTTCTGGCCCCTCCTCCCCTGGCTCTGCTTCCAGCCACAGCACAGAAAGTGAAGTGTCCTTCAGTCCTCAGGCTCGGCCTTCTGCCCCCGGACAGGCTCCCTTCTCTCCGGGACGACTGACCGACCGAGAACACTGGCTCCTCATACACGCGAAACAGACAATAACAGCTCAGGGAGACATTCAATGCCCCATTGATACATTCACAGAATTAGACTTTAAGTTACATCTAGAATTTTTACTCTTTTCTGCTGAGGTACCATCTTGGTCCTGTTATATAACATTCTGTTTCCTTGAACCAAAAAGGGTTTCTCGACGGCTCCAGTCAGATGCCGGCAGAGGCGTCCCCGCATGTGAGGAAATGAGGGCGGGGACAAAGGTAAGAGGGGCATGAGATCCTTCAACACAACTGTCCCATGCAATTGGCTCAAGATTCATGGACGTTTTCAGAACTGAAAAAGAAAGAAAAGTTATAGGGAAACAAAACCCCTTAAAGACCTTGGATAACCCATTTTCACACTTCCTATGTGCCCAACAAATACATTTTAAAACCACTGAAGATCTTTGAAGGAGGCAGAAGCAGGTTACAAGGTTGCATGGCATGATGGTTAGGGAGGCTGTCAA